CAAGGGCTTGGAGGACGCTGGGAGTTTAATGTATGTTAAAAGGGTATTAAATTCTAAAGTGAAATTTACATGGAAATATGACATTAAAATATTTTTAGCTTTCAGGAAGCTGGGGGCTGGAATGCTATAATATAGACAAATTTTATCATTTTAGAAAGGATTAGCCTCACAGTATTTCTTATGTATTCACAGAGTTAATGCATAATGATGTTCTGAACCCTGCCTGGGGCTACGGGGCTGAGGCAGGCGTGCACCTGGGAGAGAGAGCTGGTGGTGGGCCCGGAGGGAGGGTGCAGGCCCCGGGCTGGATCCTGGGCTCCCCTCGGGGTGCCAGGGTGGCCCCCTGAGCCCTGAGGTCCTGCCTGCAGTGTTCCCGGAGAGGATATGAATGGGCATCCTTGTCTCCATGGCTACCCGTTACTGGTCCCCTACTGTGCGCAGCCTATGACTTCATCTTATTTGCTCCTCATGCAGTTCCGTGAAGAAGGTGGGATTTTGTCCCAGTTGAGCAGATGAGAAAATGGCTCAGAGAGGTTGAGTCATAAGTCCAAGGTCACACAGCAGGGAGGCAGATTCTCAGCTCAGTCTTGAGACTCTCTGAACCTTCACCACCTGGCTGCCCCCTGCCCTGGTTCCCCAGCAACCTGGGTCCTGCCCTGGCCTGCCCCTCTGGCCCTGGAGCTCTGGCCCTCATGTCTCCCAGGCCCTGTGCCAGCCGGGTGAGGGGCCTGCGGGCACCATTCCCTGGGTTCCCGCTCACTGCAGCTCGAGCACCTACAACAGACCCTCCCAGAGGGGGTGCCGGGCCTTGTGGGGTGAAGGGCCGAGCTTAGGTATAGCAAGCACTTTCTGCCACCAACCACCCCCATGCCAGCCCTGGGCAGGGGGCTGGGCACCCAAATATAACAGAGCTGTCCCCCGGCCCCCAGGGAGGGTTTGCCTCTCAAAGGTCTGTAGCCGAGTCCTTTCCTGGGAGGGACACGGGAGGGCGTGAAAAGGGTGCTTGGAGGTGGGACTGGCTGTGAGTTCCACAGCGTGAGGTGTGTGGTGGCTCCAGGGCTGGACCCCAGGCCTCAGGGGGACCCTTTATCCTTTCCCTGGTGCCCTCCCTGCCTGTCTGCAGGGCCAGGGGTCTGCTGCAGGAGGGTGGAGGCTGGAGGGTGGGAGTGGGCACATGTGACCCGACAGGAGGTGGTTTGGGATCGTGGAGATTGGGGACCGATGAGGGGAGGCTTGGCCCTTCCTGCTCCTGCCACAGGGACCCTCTAGATGGGAGCTGTCTGGCTCAGCTCAGGGGTCCTGACTCTTCAGGAGCCAAAGAACTAGGAGGGGGGACCCTCAGGCCAGAACCCAGGGGCCCTAAGCCAGCGGCCCCTCCTCCAGCTTACCTCTGCCCCAGGCAGCACCAGAGCAGGGAGGCAGCGCGACCCCTCCACCTGCCAGCTCCGTGACCGTGACCCAGCCCCCCGCCAAGCCCAAAGGCCAGAGGTCAGGGTGGAGGACGGGCCTGGCACTTGGGGGCCTGTTCCTGCCCGTCCCAGACATCCGGGGAACCCGCCTGGAATGGGGGCTCAGCACAGCGCTGGCCCCAGCTGAACCCTCACCATGGACGTGAGCTCTCCTGCCAGCCCACTTCACAGATGGGAACACCGAGGCTCCTGGAGGTGAAAGGTGTCCTCCTCATCCGGCTGGACAAGGGCAGGGCTGGGTTCCTCCCCAGGGCTGGGTGACATCAGGCCGTGGCCGTGTCCCCGTGGCCGGGAGGAGGCAGGCCGGCGGCCTCGGGGTGACGGGAGGAGGCTCAGACCGCGGCGGCGCCGGTCCCGGGAGGACCCCCCGGGGCAGGGGGCCGCGCTGGCGGAAATGACCGCTCGCCGCCTGGCGGGCACCTCTGGGAGGTCACTCATTGGCAGTTAAAAATCTATTGTGACTTGTCAGAAAAATGAATAAATGGGCGCATTATTTTTTCATTCCAGACCTCAGCATCTGTTTGTCTAATCAGGGAGGGGAGCAGGAGGCCGGCGAGGGCTGCCGAGCGTTTTATGCAAGTTTTCCTCTGTCACAGGAGTTTAGACGGGTAATGAACAGGCCGCGGTGATTTGAAATATAATCCCATTACACTGACGAGATTACGGGGCTTCGAGACTTCACAAATCACTCTCCGGGCTTGCACGCGAACACCACCCTATGGGACTTCCCACTTAGGCGGAGGTGTCTGGTGGGGATACAGCCTGGCAGGCTTAACCCTTCCCTCTCCTGGGCTGCTCCCCAAACACAGGTGCCCCGTGGGGCCTTCGGGACCCGGGGTGCTTGGGCCACCGGGCACAGCTTGTGTGGGAGGTGGGAGAGCCGACGTCCATGGCTTCGGGCGAGGGGCTTTGCTTCTTTGCCTCAGTTTGCTCGTCTGTAAAATGGGGGGTAGGTGGACTGAGAAAATGGTTAGTAAAATAGTAGCCTTATTGAGGACTTGAGAGGCAGGCACTGGTGCAGGACTAGCCAGTTACACCCTACTGTCCCCTTGAAGCAGGTGAGGTGTCACCATGTGACTAATTCTAGACAAAGACACATGAGTGGAAGTGGGCAGTGACAGGTGTCACTTTTGGACCACAGTATGCCATTTTGCTGCTTTTTCTCCAGTGCCCTCCCCTCCTCCCCCCGCCATCTGCACCCCAACCTTTATGGAAACCGGAGGATGGCTGGGTCCACGGCTGACTGTGAGGAGAAATGTTAAGCCACTGAGGCCTTGGGGCTGTTTGTTGCCGCAGCAGAGCCTGGCCCATCCTGACTAGCAAACTCATACAATCCTCACAATGCCCCTTTGAAGTATTATTGTCCCCATTTTACAGAAGGGGACACTGAGGCTCAAAGAAGTAAAGTAGCTCATCCAAGGACACACCACCCGGGAGACAGAGCTGGACTCTGAGCACCATCTGGGCTCTTTTTAAGAGGGTGCTCGGTGAGCCGTTTGTTTTACATCAGTCGGTGAGAAAGGGTGGGACCTGGACTGGGTGTAGCCCGATGGTGCCAAGCCCTCCAGTCAAGCTTTGTCCCAGGGGCAGAGGGCCATGGCCTGGCTCCTGAGCGCCCTCCTTCCTGGGCACTGAGGCAGCTGGTTTTGGCAGCTGCCACGGGCAGCCTCTTCGGCTCTGAAATTCGAGGGGACGGCTTGGCGCAGCTGGCTCTTCTATGGAGAGGGCACTGCTGGGGAGCACCATGCAGATGCTGCTCAGGCAGCTGGACTGAGTGACAGATGTCACGGCCTGCTGCCCGGGCACCGAGCACGTGCTGTCTGCTGTCTCACTCAGGTTTGATTCCGGGGGAGAAGTGGCATTTCCATCCCATTGTACAGACCTGGACACTGAGGCGCAGGAAGGTAACCACTTACCTAGAGGTCACGAGGCTGGTGAGGAGAGGAGCTGGGACTGTGCAGCCACAGAGCCTGCACACACGCCGCCCCCTACCCCCCAGTGCCCACGGGGAGCGGGATGTAAACAGTCTTGATATTTAATTTGGGTGACTGGGGTGGTGGTGGCAGCGTTCCCCTTAAACGGTCCCATCCGTGGACACACGTCTCGTGTGAATGCGTGTGTGCTGCGCCTCACCTGACGAGGAGGGTGTTGGTTTTGTAACAGGAGGAGGCGATGCTCTCGGCGTCCCCCGAGTGCAGGGGGCGTCCTGTCTCGCTCAGACGCTCGGCTCCACACCCCCGGCCCAGGTGGTCGCCGCGGTCACCGTCTCAGGACGGCGCCCTTGGGCGTCCAGGAGTCAAAGCAATACGCGGAGACGGCACGTGGACGACTTTTATTTTAATACTGACTATGTCACAGGGTTCAATAACCAAATTAGTCATTTACATTTCCCAAAGATACCTAAATATAAAACTGCTGAAAATTCAAATACAGAGAGCAAGCTACAAATATTATTTCTCTTGTTTCTGGGGGGGGGGGGGGGGGGGGAAGACGTTAGAAAAGGCTGAACAAAGCTCAGGAGGAGAGGAGATCCTTAAAACGACCTGGGTGCAAAGAAACACACTGGGGCCTGAGATGCTGTCCCCGTCAGTCACACCTCTTCCCGGACCGTTCAGAAAACGGTTTGAAATGCAGGTCCTCCGGCCACACCCGGTCCCTGAGCCCGGGTGGGCGTGGGAGGGCGTCGCTGGGAGGACCGCAGAGGCAGCTGTGTGGCCGGACGTTCCCGCCTGGGAGCAGGCTTCCCTGGGCCCCGCGCTGCTCACTGCTCCCCGCTGGCTCCCAGCGGCTCCCAGCCTGGCTCCGTGAGGCCGGGGAAGGGAACCGCGGCCTCCCAGGGGGCAGAGGGAGGAGCGCCCAGGAAAACCCACACGTGGGCCTGATCGCTAGCTGCCATGGACACTTGCTCCTTAAGGATGGGGATCACTTCTGGGAGCCGAGTGTAACCTGAAGACCAGCCTCCCCAGCTCCCCCTGAGGTCAGAGGTGCTGGGACGAGCTGGGAGAGGCTGTGAGGGGAAATGGTGCCGCCTCAGACACACCACCAGGCCCCTTTCCTAACCTTAGCATGAAAGAGACTCCTCCAAGCACTGCGCTCATTTAAACAAATGGCAGAGTTAACGCTATTGACTAAGCCCTAAACATTTCTTCTGAGAAATCGAGCCACAGCTTTTCCAATCTGCCTGTTCAATATGGGAACAGATTTTAAAGCGAATAACATAATCAATCCTCTGCCCCAAAGAATGGTCCGTCATACCAACCGTGATAAAGAGGACACCTGTTTATTAAAAGGAAAAAGAAATGTACATTTTTGTTCTTCAAGGAATTTGATCAGGTTGTAGGAAATGTGTGGGCGGGCCGGGAGGGGGGGGCAGCGGGGCCCTGGCCGCCTGGCCTGAGCACTGCCCCGTCCTAAGGGCTGCCCTGCCCCGGAGCCCACCGGCCTGCCCCGGGGACGGAGGACAGGGGGCGCTGGCCGGCGGGCCCCGGAGCAGCTCTGAGCCCTGGAGCAGATTGAGGCTGGAGGCCGGGGTCACTGCTGCCCCGATTTCTTCTCCTTCTGGAAGCTGAAGCTCGTGCGTCTGTTGAGTTTTCTTTGTTTTTGAGCAAAATAGTCAGCGCGGGCAGTGCTGGCTCGTGACTCCAGGATGTAGTTGACCTGGAAGCAAGAGGACACACCCGTCAGGCGCCAGTAGCCACCCGCTCGCCCAGGGTGACAAAGCCTGGACTCTGCATGTGTGCGCACCTCGGGGGCCTCCTGTGCTTGGAGTGCAGGGTCCCAGCAGCCCAGCAGGCTGGGCCGAGATGCATTACGACGGTGCTGGCCCGGCCTGCCCGCCAGCACTGTGGGGGCGCTGTGCACCCCTGGGCTTGCACCTAACTTCCCTGAGCCCCACCTGCCCCGTCTGAAGGACGAAAGCGTCATAGGAATGAAAACCAAACCAAATCAAGGCTCTCCACTCAGCAGAAGCTCAGTGGCAGTCAAGGTGAGGTAGGGAGGAGCCTGGAAGGGCAAGGGTGCCGTGAGCAGACCTGCGCCCGCGGCGAGGACCAGCCCCTGCCTGGGCAGCAGCAGGGCTGGAGTGCTTTCCAAGGATTACAAAGCCTTACGAGTGGGGTGCCATTATCACCCCAACATGCAGATGAGAAAGCCGAGGCACGGGACAGTAATGACACGTCCTCCAGGTCACAAAGCTAGCGTCTGGGCCAGGATCGGGAGGGGCGAGTGCAGGCCCTGACAGACACCCCTTCCGGTCCTCCGGGCCCCACCCCTCCAGAGGCACCCATCCCCTCACGCCCTGACAGCTCTGCTCCCGCGGCCCCAGCTCCTCTGGCTGGAGCTTTGTGAGCAAACACCACGTCTCTTCCCTCTCACAGACATCAAGCCATGACCAGCCACCTGAGCACGCGGGGCACGGGAACCACCACCACCTCTCGGATTCTCCTCCCAGAGCGGAGGCCGCGAGGGGCGGCACGCCTCACCGGGGCCGGGGCTCCGACGCCGAGCTCCCTCCAAACTTTCTGCTCTGGTAGTCGCCAGCAGCAGGCATTAAAGGCCGGGTGTGCGTACAGAAGGCCTGACACGCTTGGCCCACCGCCTCGCCAAGTCACCAGCTGAGAGCAATAAATCATGAGGCCGCGGGGCCAGCTGACGATCGGGACACTCCAGACAGCGTGTGGAAATAAGGTTTTATCATTCGTAATGAGAGCAATCTTTGCATCCTATCGTTCGCACACTCAGCCGACCTAGTGTTCTCGGCACACCCAACTTGACAAAAGCATTTCACCATGATCCGCAAGTAGCCAGCTAGTTCCTAAATTTGTGATCTTCGGTGCTTTGTGATAATCACATAGATAATTTTAATGGAAGATTAATGTAATAATCAAAAGATAAAAACGCCCTTTGGTCTGCCATTAGCTGGTTAATATGCTGTGGCTTAAAACTTGCACAATTTTATGCACTATGGAGTGCTTCACTTTCAATGCGTTTTACAGCTCGAGGCATAAAAATAGAGGGAGTTTTCATGGCCAATAAAGCCACAGCCTCCATCACTCGATCATGAGAAGAACCCGATTTGAAGAGACCAACGATTCCTCCGAGATTCATCTGAAAGCCCGCAGAACGGGGCCGTACACGGCTCCGCTCACTGACATCCCGGCCGGAAGGCGTGGCCGGGAGCCCTCAGCCTGCGGCCCGCTGACGCCCGCCCGGGCCTCCCTCTCCTCGCCCACAAAATGGGGACAACGCGCGTCCACACGGCAGGCCAGCTGTGAAGACCGAATGAGATCATGCATGTGCAGCTCTGCTCAGTAAACGGGAGGTGTTAATGTTTCTGCACAGGGAGGGACACACTGAGGAAAAATAACCGGATGGAGAGTTGCCTGCTCATCGTAGTTTCTTTGACATCAGCCCCTGGCCCTTGTTTCCTCTTTCAGTTTCAGTCGAAAGCGTTCATTTTATGCAAAACACCTGAATTCTAGAGGATTACTCGTGTGTAAGACTGAGCCCTGAGGAGCCTGTGATGGAAACGTTTCTGCCAAACGCCCGGACAGGGCAGGGGCGGCAGTCACTGGGTGCTGGTGCGATCACGCAGACACTGTGGGAAGGCCACAAGGCCAGCATTCAGACTGCCACAGGAGTCAGCAGGAGGGTGAAATGTGACCTCCTGCCAGGACCGTGCCCTCCGCTCTCTCACTAATCAGGCCCGAGCACACGTGACTCCCCCGGAGCCTTGTGCAGGAGGCAGTATTTCTACCAACAATTGATATGAAAACAGACATTTTAGGGGCGGCGGCGGGCCTCGGGGATTCTGCGGGAAAGCATCTGCTTCGGGGAGCATGTGGTCCTGGGAGATGATTTCTCTGCACTCGCTCTTCCACGGTCTCATACCGAAGTCATAAACCTGTGTTTCTGTCATCAATCTGCTGTTGTGAAAATTATTTGATGTCAAACACAGGATTATAATTTTACTAGAATCCTTCTCAAGTCTTGAATATTTTAATGCTGGCTATAAAAAAAGCCCAGCCCTGACAGGGTAATGGAATATTTCTTTACCTAGGCCCTGAATACTCCAAGTTCCCTGTGCTGTGTGGTGACGAGACGGCAAGTAACTCTTAGCTCGCTGGTTTTAAGCATCTGGCAAGCGCTGTCCCTGTGGCTGGGGCCGGGGCCGGGGCGGGGTGAGGGGAGCTGTGATCCAGGTGGTCCGTGAACCTGCTGCCTCCTCCCCAACTGACAGTGCGACCCTGTCTCCGCTCCTGACGGCCCCCAGCAGCAGCAGCTTTTGAATCCTCATCTACTGCTTGTGGAAACCTTGCAGCCATGAGGGCTCTGCCTTCATTTCGGTGAAACCCCCCACTCAGCTCCCTCAGTCCGCACACTCTGGGGATGTAGGAGCACCGGGTCTGGAGCCTGGGGTCCAGTTCTGGCTTTGCTAGCATGGCCCTGGCTAAGGTGCCTTTCTTCCTGAGCCCTCACCGGGGCAGGGGGAACCCTTAGACAGCGCTGCCCGCTGATGTGAAGAATCCATGAAACGGTGCTCGGTGCTTAGCCCGCCCGCACTACCCAGGCCCCTGGTGGATCCTCACTGCTTCCGATGATTATTCCTTGACGATTCCACTCTCAGGAAGAGAATGAGGGACCACCTAAGTGGGTTTATTGCCTCTCATGGGATTTGTGTCTCTCAGGCCCGTGGGGGGTGGGTCAGTGCAGCTGCCATGACCCCCCTTAACAGGCAGGGACACTGAGGCGCCCAGAGGCCACGCACCTCACAACGGGGAGCCCCTCTGGCTTTACGACCTGCTCTGCCAAAGCAGCTCTTCTTCGTTCCGATCAGCTCCCCGAGAACCAGCTGGAGGAAAGGATTCCGTCCGGAGGTCTGAGAACCGCCAGTCCAGGGCCACTGAGGGGTGCCCAGGGCAGCGGCCGCAGCCCTGGGAGAGCCTTAGAAAGGCCTCCCCGGCTCCTGGACCAGTAAGAGCCGCGGCGGCCTTTCCCAGTCCGACCCGCAGCGTCTCACGCACTCGGCGAGCACTGTTGAGTGGCAGGGACATACAACTCCAGCATGGAGTTGGGTGTGTTTTGAACAGCTTGATAAGGTTACCTTGGGTACAGTAAGGTGTCTTCAAATAATAACAGTTTCTCAGAGTCTGGTCCAGGAGCCTCGAGGGGCTTCTGGCAATGGATGGAAGGAAAGAAATGGTGCCTAAGAAGGATAAATGAGCCCACGAGGAATCAGGATTTCTGGGGGGCCAGGAGGAAGCCCAGGGGCGTCCTGCTTTGGCTAAGTGGGTGCAGGGCAGCGGAGCTGTGGTGTGGCCCTGGGTGCAGTACTCTGAGAGCCTTGTCCTGTGTGCGTGCGTGCATGTGTGCATGCGTGAGTGCACGTGCGTGTGTGTGTGTGTGTGTGCGTGCGTGCGTGCGTGTGCATGTGGACTGAGGGGTGAAGAAGGTGCTGCCAGGCCTGAGGACCACCCAGCAGAAGCCAGCCCCCCACACCTAGTGCCAGGGCCGAGGCCACTCACCTTGAGCATGATTTCATTGACGGTCGCAGCGTCCGATTCGAAGTAGAGGTGTTTATAGTCATGATTGCTTAGATACGTGAGTTTAAAAATGGCGTGACCTGGAGAGAGAAAAGACAGAGCTGAGGGCTTCCTGAGGGGAGCCCCCCGATCCTCCTGCCATTCCAGATCAGGGGAGAGCAAGTGGGGCTGTGTGGCCACTAGTCTTCATAGCAGTTCATTTTTCTCATTACAGGCCGGGGAGGACTGACAGTAAAAAATAAAACTATCGGGTCAAATGGCTAGTGAGGCCCCTTCTTACTCCGGAGTGTGTTCAGGGCAACATCCCATTAGGAAGGCGTACAGAACCTCTTCCACGCAACAACTTCACGGAAAAGGTCGTGTTTTTGAGGTAGAAGGCCAATTACTTCCAAATTATTGCTCTAAAAATAACTGTGTTTGAAGGAAAATAAATGAGCAACAGGAAGGAGAAAGGCGGGAAGCAATGCCGTTATGAGCCTTCCCTGCTGAGAGCGGAGCCGTGGGCTTGTGACCCTGTAGAAGGCTGCTCCCATGGCTCGGCCAGTGCTCCCTGGAAGGATGGGTGGCCTAGCGGGGGGCGGGGGTGGGGGGGGGAGAGCAGGGGGAGGATTGCTCTAGACACGGCCAAGGACAGCTCGTACTTCCCACAGCAGACCGACCTCAGGGTCCGAACCTCTAAACTGCCCCAGATTCAAGTCCTCACACCCCTTCCCCATCACCTTCAGAATCACCGTGCCATTTCTGAGACTGCCTCCTGGGTTAGCCTCCTCTCACACCAATGCCCTCACATGCCGCAGGCCAGCCCACTGCACACCCCACCTGCCCGGCCTGGATCTCTGTGACCCGTCTGGAGAAAGCCTGCAGTCCTGGGGCACTTGGCTCAGCTGGCACCTCCTTGAGCCGGGTTCCATAGCTGCACTTCCAGGCACACTTCCCAGCGGCTCCCACACCGTCCATACTGCCACCCGCAGCCCTGCCTGCCCTCCCCGGGCCTGTGCCTGGGGCACACGTGCCAATCAAATACCTCCTCTGAAGGGAGACGTAGATGCCAGCCCGTCTCAGTGCAATGGGAAGCTGTCCCTCCCCATCAGCACACGCTGTCTTTGGGTTCTGGGAGCCCCCCGTGGCCCTCTTTCTTAAGGAAAAAGTCCCGTTTCCCCTTAGGCTAGTATGAAACATCGGACATAGAGGCCTCAGAAGCCTTGCCCAGTCCTATTTGTGCTGACAGGACTCGAATTCAGCCTATCCTTCTTATTAGGCCTTCTCATCCGCTGTCCTTTTAATTGAAACAGCGCTGGTCACAGTTATTAATTAATAATATATCGCCCACATTACCGTAAGTTCCCCTCTTTCCCGGAGAAATTTTCTTGGGGGACTTTATTTACAGTAGGCAATTCTTCAGCTCTCCAAAAATAAACTGATAGATGTGGTCCGTATGTGGCCAGAAGAGTTGAGCTGCTGGTATTTTATCCTGGAAACATCATGATATACTAATTGCGACTATAAATTCTGTATGGAAAAAAATCAGCCAATAATTTCTGAAAAACCTCACTTTCAGTCACTTGACAAATTTGGCCTGATTCTAAATGGTGGCACTAAATTGTCAGAATTCTCAGCCGGAAGCTAATCATTCTGTTCACACGAAGTTCCTGGTTTCCGGTAAGAAAGTGAACCTCATGTGGATGTAGCTGCGAGCGTGTGTGGGTGCTCCTGGATCTTCACAGGCCCGCCGTGGACAAGAGTCTCAGTGCTGCCCTAACCGGTTTGGCTCAGTGGATAGAGCGTCGGGCTGCGGACCGAAGGGTCCCGGGTTCGATTCCGGTCAAGGGCATGCACCTTGGTTGCGGGCACATCCCCAACAGGGGTGTGCAGAAGGCAGCTGATCAATGTTTCTCTCTCCTTGATGTTTCTAACTCTCTCTCCCTCTCCCTTCCCCCCCGTAAAAAGTCAATAAAATACAAATTAAAAAAAAAAAAAAAAAGTGTGTCGGTGCTACCGCTGGGGCAGAACAAGGTGGCTGCTCTGCCGGCCGTGCTGTGAGCAAGCAGAAGCGGCTGTGAAGGTCAGCGGCTGGGAAGGACACTCAGACACCCTCAGGCGGCCGTGCTGCTGACACCTGGCCGCGGCAGGCACAGACGCCGGGGCCCGGGGCTACGAAGGACCGGCAGGTCCCGGGGAGGCCGGTGGGCCCGGAGCTTCGGGGTTCACTGACCACTCTGATAAGCCATCTCACGGACTGGCTACGCCACCTGCTCCCCTCGTCACCGACAAAGCCAAACCCCAGGCTGCCAGAGCAGGTTTCACCTCAATCACAGACGCTCTGGTTAGAGCCCGCGGCACGTGTGGCGGGCAGTCTGCACGGCCTGGGGGCTCCGGGCGGAAGGGGCCGTGACACTGTCTCCCTGTGACGCAGAGGGGAGGCCCGAGGTTCGCCTGCCTGACAGTCACATGAAAAAACAAACAGAAATCATCCTGAATCAGGCCTCCCGAAAGGCTGCCCACAGAGGCCGGTGAGACCAACGTCCCGCCTTCTGTTCCTGCTGTGTGCCTGCCTGCCTGTCCCCGCTCTCACTCCAGAGCCCTAGGGCAAGCCAGGTGGACGGGGACAATGAGTCCCACCCGTCGGCTCTCCGAAGCTTCTGCCTTCCTAGCATCTGCCTTCCCAGTGAAAGCATTCATGTCCCTGTGAGAACGGAGGAGTCACCTGCAGGGCTTGTGTCTGAATTTCAACAAAACAGCCCGTTGTGACCATCACAGGGCCACTGGGTGAAGGTGTGGTGGGACAGGCAAGCAGAGAGCCGCCCCTGGCTCCGTGGGGGGCATTCTAAGCTCAGGTTAACACCACAGCCATGTTTTGTCACACACGGTTGACTCGCTCGGGATCCCGGTTTTGCCTGGGGCCAGGGCAGTTTTACTGGGTTCAAGCCCTGCCAGGGGCACAGGCTAGTGCAGGGTCTGCTGTGGAGACACGGGGTGGAGGCAGCTGGCCTGGTGGGGGTCAGCGGGGTAGAGGTGGTGGGAAAGGGTAAGGGAGGAGCGCGGATGAACCTACGGGGGCAGGAGCTGGCAGACAGGATCGTGTGTGGCGGACAGCCAGTGACTCAGGGCAGCTACAAAGGGCTGGGGTGCCAGTTTCACCAGCCGAGGAGGCCACTGGGGGTTGGCTGTAAGCTGGGCGATGAAGTACGTAGTCAGACCGTGCTTCTGGACGTTCACCCTCGCTCCCCAGGACCTGGAGACAGGGGCACCGGTGCCACGGCCACCAGGTAGGCACGGATCCGGTTTTGAGCTGAACAGGGTCAGAAAGTATGCTGAGGAAGGAACTGACTTGAGGGCTATGAGAAGGGAACTTGGGGAGACTTTTATAATAGAACTAGAGGCCTGGTGCACGACATTCATACACTGGAGGGGGGGGGATCCCCTCAGCCTGGCCTGTGCCCTTTTGCAGTCTGGGACCCCTCGGTGGATGCCCAAAGCCTGCTCCCTGTGGGGAGTGGGCCTAAGCTGGCAGGCGGACATCCCCTGAGGGGTCCTTAGTGCAGCCACGGAGGTGGAGAGGCCCCCAACACCGCCGCCTCGCTCACTAGCCGTCAGCCCAGCTTCCGGCTGAGCGGCGCCCCCCTGTGGGAACACACTGACCAGCAGGGGCAGCTGCTTGAGGGGAAGCATGAGCCCTGCAGTCAGTCGGGATGAAACCCCACGCTTGGCTGGTCCCCTCGGTGCTGGCCCCCAGGAGCCAGGCTGGTGGACAGAGGCGGCGGCAGGGTCAGGCACCGCACACAGCGCATGGACACAGCAGGGACGCGGTGCGTGGTGGCGATCCTTCTTACAACTGGACGGAACTGACATTTGAAGATAAAAATCACTATTTTAGAGATTCTGTTTGTAACTGGGCCTTCTCTGAGCAGACACGCGGTGCCATAGGAGTAAGTGCATACAATGGGGTATCAAATGCGGCGTCGAGGCCCTGGTCACACGCTCGGGGCAGACACTGGAGCTGCTCCTGCTTGTGAGAACGGAACGGGAGTCTGGGTATGTAAAAAGGTATTTATGTTTGTGTTTCCCCCCAAAGAGAAACAGAAGATGGAATGTATCGGCAGAAACTAATTAGTTGCACAAATGTCAGAAGGGGAGACGATTGAGCTTTTGTGCTGTAATTTATCTTCTTGAACAAGAGGGTCTGCTGAAAAAACGGGTTCCCTGGTCAATTCAGGGCCGTGGCTATTCTACGGGGGCTATCACACGACGGGCGGCTAAGCAAAGAGGGACAGCAGCTTACCCACTCCTGCCGAAACGCGCCCAGGTCAGCACTGCACACGGGGCAGGGCTGACTATCTGAAAGGAGGCTCCTTTGAGCTTAACCTGCCAGCACTGACTCCCTGGCCCTGACGGGTCAGGGCCGGGCTTCCCGGTGGAACCTGCAGCCCACCTTTGCCTAAAGCCCTATGATTTAAAACTGAGAAGAGCCGAAACTGGTTTGGCTCAGTGGTAGAGCGTTGGTCTGCGGACTGAAGGGTCCAGGTTCGATTCCGGTCAAGGGCATGTACATTGGTTGTGGGCATATCCCCGGTGGGGGTGTGCAAGGGGCGGCTGGTCGATGTTTCTCTCTCATCGATGTTTCTAGTTCTCTCTCTCTCTTCCTCTCTGTAAAAAAATCAATAAAATATATATTAAAAAAAATAAAAAATAAAACTGAGATTTATTAATTCATTAAAGATAATAAACTGTTATAGGTTCACATGAAAATGTATTTTTAATGGGAAAACCCTTATATTTCTCCAAAGTTTAAGGAGAATGTGGCATTATTACATATATTTTGGTTTGTTTTGTTAATATTTACCTGAGGGTATTTTTTCCTATTGATTAGAAAGAGTGGAAGGGAGGAGAGGAGACAGAGAGAAACATTATATGAGAGAGACACGCATGCACCCAATCTCCCGCATGTACCCAACCAAGGCCAGGATCAACCTGCAACTGAGGTACATGCCCTTGACCGAAATTGAACCCAGGACCCTTCAGTCCTCAGGCTGATGCTCTATCTACTGTGCTAAACCAGCTAGGGACATTAATTTATACTAGA